CCTGTTCTCAGGCCCCTCCCAGCCCTTAGCTTCTCTGTTCTAAGACCTTTCCTGCTCTGACATTCCCTGTTCTCAGACCCCTCCCAGCTCTGACCTGTCCTTTTCTCAGGCCCCTCCTAGCCCTGGCACTCCCTGTTCGAACCTCCAGCTCCCTTCAAAGCTCAGATCAAGTTCCAGCCACTTCCTTCAAGAGGCATTTGCAGATTTCCTTGTTAGCCTCCTCCCCTGCCCTGCCCTCACCCCACCCCAGTCACTGCACATTTATTCTGGGGATGGTCTAGACGGACTTCTTGGTGAATTGTATTTATTTGCTTTGCTTATCTTTCTCCTGCAGCAGAATATAAGCTACTTGAGGGTGAGAATGTCATTTCTGTCTTTGTGTGTCTAGTGCTTAGCATAGTATAAGGGTTTAGTAAATTAGGTGTTGGTGTTTCATAAAAGCTTGTTCACTAGTTGATTAATAATACACAGATGAAGAAATGTAAAATAGATATGAAGTAGGGTATAACATAATTTTGGGGGGTGTGAGGAGGTGAAACTTTAACAGATGGGTGAATAAGAAAGACCTCATGTAAGAAGGGGCTGTTGAGGTGAGTGTTAAAAGGAGTTAGAGATTCTGAGAGAAGGAAATGAGGAGTGTGCTTCAGGCATGGGGGACAACCTAGGCAAAGGTATGGAGGGAGGAGCCAGAATATCATGTAGAGAGAACATGAAGAATCACGTCTTCATTGGATTCTACAAACTCCAGGGTTGGGATGCATAGACACTAGACCCTTATATATTAAATGGCTAAAGAACTTTCCTCTCTCCCCCAAAATGATGCATTCCAGGAATTTCTCCAACAGCTTGAGGGGGACCATTTTGAATTCCTCAGAGCTGCTTCTATCTTCCCCTAAGGACGTTCCCCTAAGGTTAGAGCTGGGGAGGTGTTGGCTGGCATGCTAGGTTCCTCAGAAAGGGCTTTTGGCCCTGCTGGACAACAGGAGGCCAACTGAAGGGTGTTCAACAAAGAGTAGCATGGATGATTAGGAGGCCAAAGGATTAATTTACACCCTGGCCCCAGTTGGCAGGATTAAATGGGCGCAGCTTAGTAATGGGGTAAATGGGGCTGTCATTGGCTAACTGGAGACTGTCAACACCAAGCCAGGAGAGGGAGCCTGGGGTGCGGGGAGAGGTTGCTAAGAGCATAGAGTGAGACCTGGAACTCATCTAGTTTACAGATGAGGAAACTGAGGTCCAGACAGGGCATATGACTTCACACCACAAGATTATAGATTTAGGGACCTATTTCCTCATTTTGTGATTGAGGAAACTGAGATCTAGACAGGAGAAGTGACCTCAGACCATAAGGTCATAAACTTAGAGCTCGGAGGGACCTAATTCGTCTTCTGGTCCAACCTCCTTGGTCTTTAGATGAGGGAACTGAGGCCCAGAGAATTCA